AGCTCTCAGGTTCATATTTCCGCTGTCCCTATCGTTCCCAGATTATGCCAATCATTTACAAAATCATTCCCTAAGCCCTTCTTGATTTCAGTATATCATTTGAGTGTCACATTCTCCAAGCCCTCTTTCCTCATTATGTATTCTAGAAATTTCATTTGTCTCTTTCTGATTCTAAGTATAAGCCTCCATTTTGCTTCCATTTTCCTTAAGTCTTCTTCGTTACTTAAGAGCTCGGTCCTTGGTTGCCTCAAGCCTCTTCGTGATCTTTGAGGGAATTTGTCCAGCATTTTCTACTATAACGGAGGATTGATATTAACTAGCTGTTCAGCACTCTTTTATTTTGTTTGTAACGACATTTTCCCTATCTTCGTTTTGTTTTTGGAAGACATCTATTAATGTTCCAAATTATCTTCGGATTTCGGTGTCACATTTTTTTCCCGTTTTCTGTTTAAACACTTCCCAGATATTCCAATCTTCTTACTTGCTTGATTTTATTCTCTTGGATTCGTAGTTCACACCTTATACTCTTCCTTTTATTGGCAAACATACATTCTATCTTCTTAGAATTAATGGTTTCTCTTCTCGCTTTCTTTTAATAACTTTTTTATATTTCATTTATTATCTCCCTAACATGATCAATATATACAACAGTGGTGATATACCGGAAGTTCGCCTCTTGCACTCTTCCGCTTGCTGGCAAATTTGCATTCGCTCTTCTTACAATTGATGATTAGTCCTTTCTTCATGCTTTCCTTTATTATTTTTTTTAGTAATTCCAGCAGTATTCTTGCCGTATCTTCCTTCAACATTGTGTCATCTGAATCCCTTATGCTTTTAAGATTGTGCCCAACAATATTTTACAAGTATCCGAATGATGCTTTACGTGAAGATTTGAATGTAGACTCGGGTTCAGTTAGACGCGCACAAACGAACCGCTACTTGACGCGGAAATGAAACACTTTTACTAGCGTAATTCAGCGAAGTTTTAATTTCAAAACACTCACAAAAATGCACTTATTTTTTGCCATTACAATTATTGGCAAAACGCATACAATAATGTCAGAAGACAATAAATAGATAAGTTATTAATGGAGTCTGGACGTATTATACAAAAATCAGTGAAATAGACTAGTTTATCTAAATTAACCTCTTCGTTTTCCCGCCCTCGCTGGTTGGGTCAGAACCAAAATTATCAATTATTCTCCGAAAAAAAAAAATAAATAAAGAAGAAATCTACCGTTATTTTTTATTTCTTGCTTGATTTTACTCTCTCGGATCCTTGTACTTTCCCTCATGCATTCTCACTTCTTACAATTGATGGTTAGTCCTTTCTTCTTGCTTTCCTTAACTATTTGTTTTAACTACCCTGATAGTAATCACATGGATTATAATATGTGGGTCGCAGTTGATAAAGACACCAACCACACTACCTGTAAGACCAAAGTCCAGCTGATCGACAGAATTAAGTAGACGTTTGTGACTCTCCGTAGGGAAACCGTTTAGATCCCAATTGCCAGATTCTGGAGTCAGATCCAGGCCGTGGTAGATGCTTAGAGTGGCTTCTTTGAGTGAACTTTTTTTTGATTATTATAACCTGTGTGCCATTTTTCTATTTTTTCAACAAATTGTTTTTTGGCTTAGATATTCACTGTTTTTCTTAAATAATAAACCTGTCAAATTAAGTCAAACACATTGTAATGGGAAACTTTACTAATTACTGTGCAGTTTGTTTCTGGCAATGTTCATTACTCAACGGATAATGATGCGGAGATACCAAATATTTTGGAGTGGGCAGATTGTCTGTATATCTAAAATGTATGATAAAAAAAACATCTAATTTCTGTTATATATTTGTTATGGCCCGATTCCTTGTACCACGGTGATAGTCCAAGGTAGAACCAATAAAGAAGAACTCGAACACGTATATGGAATAACACAGATATATTACAAACAGGAATATATACAGATAAGTAGAAAAGTGTTAGTACGAACAATCAGGTTCAGTAGTAATTGTCTGAACGCGACTCTGTTTCGGACTGCCTCTGACTCGACTGACTGACTCGTTCGCTCTGACTGACTGACAGACTCCTGACGGACATCACTCCAGACTTCAGGCTGAACAGTATTTCGTCACCGCCCCACGAGGGCATCATGTGGCACAAGGCCAGTTTAACGTGGGATCTCCGAGCTCGTGGGCTCGGCCAAAAATATGCCCTTTGAACCCGTATAAACGGGTTCAGGGTCGGTTTACCTCCCCGAAAGAGACTCCGCCCTTCGGCGTAGCCTCGTTCGGATTCCTCCCCGCCCGAAGGTAGAGAGTTCAACCGATCAGCCGATCAGCCGGTCGCCCGACTTCAGACTGAACTCTCTGCTTTCTCTTGAGGCGCAGTATTTATTACGTATGGAATAGTCCATTATGTTATTATGGGTAACGTCCCATAACAATATTTATTTTGACGATTTTTTTTTCATTGATTTAAGATTAATATTTTTTCTCAGCACGGACGGAGCTTCGACACGCCATGTATTAATTTTCTTGGTCAATGTAAATCGAACACCGAAGTAGATTCAGATGTTGTAGAAAAGAATATAAAAGTGTAGATCACAGTCCAAAGTAGATTCATGGTACTTGATGTAGTAATTGTCTTGGTGCTACTTTGACTTGTTATCTACAAGGAAAATATCTACACCTTACAAAATTCCGGAATGAAAGCTACATAGAGAAAATGTAATTAAAATATTATTTTTTTCTTTCTTATATTCTAGCGATGAACAGCCTGTGCATCGACTAAAAATAGATCGCATACCAAAGTAGATTCAGACAGTAATAAAAAGTGTAGATCGCACACCAAAGTAGATTCAGTTTATGTTGAAAATATAAAATGTAGATCGAACACCAAAGTGGGATCAGGATGTTGTAGAAAAGAATATAAAAAGTGTAGATCACATTCCAAAGTAGATTCGTGACACGTAGATAATAAGCCAAAGAGCGTTATTTCTTTTTTTATTCAAGCGTACATTCAAAGGCATTAGCTAATAAAAAAAATGTCTGTGCAGTGTTTTTTTTTTTTTTGACGGGTAGGAAATAAATTAAATAAACAGAAGCGAGCGAATCAGAAAAAGATAGTTTCCATCGAGTTCATAATATTTTTTTCCAGACGACATACCATCGTATAGATAATATTTTATTCTGCCTCAATGATATTTCAGAGGAATGGACTTGATTAAATAGTTGAAAGGACATACAGCATCTCTTTAGTTACACGTGATATGTTTCATCTCAGAGTCAGATATCAGTCATGTGGTAAACCCACGCTTGCGCAACACCTGGTTATAATCTAAACAGAGAAAAATAAATAGACAATTAGACTTGAGGGAAAAGCACCATTGTTTTGTTTTTGATAACTATCGCTACATTTGAAACAATATCCCAATGCCGTGCGCTGCAGAGAACCGAATCTATAAAAGGCAGGATGCGTGTGTGTATGTGTGTGTGTAACGAATGCACGGCCGCAATTTTCGACGGATTTGCACCAAAATTTACATGCACATGCTCCAAGTTAGCGGAAAGACCAACACCGACTTTGCATTTCCCAACTCCCATCGATAGTGGAAATAATCGATTTTTTCATGCTTCTACGGCAGTTTTCATGTAGTTTACGGCCATTTTCTACTGGCCTATAGCTGGCTGCCACGAATAGGCAGGAAGATTCTATTGGCCAGCGTGAGAGCCAACAGATGACTGACACGAATATTATCTAGCATGCTAGCATGCAAAAAAATAATCGATAGCTGCATTCGCCACAAGTGGGAAAAATTTAAATCTGCATGGCACTTTACTCCAATTAGCTCATTCGCTTGCTTAAACTCAACGTTCATTCTGATTCCGCAGAACTGGGCTTGATGTGAAAAATTATTTGTTGTTAACATTCTTTTTTCATTCGGTTTTTCCAGTTACGAGTCTTTTTTTAAAGCTGATCGTTTTGTGTTCATTTTGTTTAGTTCTTTTTTCGTAACAGATTTAATGTTTAGTATAGAGCTTAGAAAAAAATTCGCAGTGTGAGATAGGCAAGAAGTAAGGCATGTAGCAACATAAGCATGGCAAAGGGCACTCCTTTAAAGGCAAGGAAGAGCTAAAATATTTTATTTCAAGTGATAGCGATTACTGTATGAGTCGAACGATTTTTGAATCAAGCACGGGCAACGCCGGGCCATGCTGCTAGTTTAATAATAATAAGACTATTATAAAATTCTGTCTGGACTTCTGGGATCTGTTATCGTTATTGACAATACGTATATTGTGACTATTCTCCTCGTCTTTGCTGCTGTTGTTGTTATCACAACGTTTCGGATGCTGTGCCATCCGGCCTTCATCAGGTGTATATCGATCTGGTTAACCAACAGGGAATTCTGAACTGAACACTTTATTTAATCTAGAGTGGAAAATCTAATCTAAATAACGGTTTATTTTTATTTGAATTTTTTTACTGTATAATGTTTGATTCAGGTCATTAACGGGAGGAAGAAATAAAATAACTGTCAAAAGATCACATTCAAAGACGAATATATTTTCCATAACATAAAATTGTATTTCTTCTTGTGAAATTCACCTATCAAAGAAATATATTTTTTAAAATTTTTAACCTTACTATTAAGTCCTCAAAATGACAAAAATCTGCTTCAAAAACAAAACTGCTCTCTATTAATCACCACAGAGATCCTTCCCTGCCATCCATTAGAAAATCTGACGCTCAACTTCTCGAGAGTACCTCTCTGCGGCTGCTCGGTCCCACGTTGACTTTTGACCTGAGATGGAACAAATACATTGAGTCAATTGCTTCGTCCACCGCAAGGAAAGTTGGCTCCCTGTGCCGTTACAGGAAATTTTTCTCCCCGGAATCGATCCTCCAGATCTACAAATCAACAATTCGCCCTTGCATGGAGTATTGCTGCCATATATGGTCTGGAGCCCCTTCTGTTTGTCTCGGGGTTCTTGATAGACTCCAGTGGCGGATATGCTGCTGGTGGCTGTCATGTTTTGGCTGCTGCTGTTTCTGCTGGCTTTCATGTTTCTACTGCTGGTTGTCATGTTTTGACGGCTGCTGCGGCTGTAAGAGTTTGTCATGTCTTGACTGCTGCTGCTGGCTGTCATATTTTGGCTGCTGCTGCTGCTTCCGCTGGCTGTCATGTTTCGAATGATGCTTCTGCTGGCTCTCATATTTTGGATGCTGCTGCTGCTCGTCGTGTTTTGGCTGCTGCTGTTGCTTCTGCTGGCTGTTATGTTTTGGCTGCTGCTGCTTCTGGAAGCTTTCATGTTTCTACTGCTGCTTGTCATGTTTTGACTAATGCTGCAGCTGTAGCAGTCTGTCATGTCTTGACTGCTGATGCTGGCTGTCATGTTTTGAATGATGCTGCTGCTTCTGTTGGATTTCATGTTTCTGCTGCTGCTGGTTGTCACGTTTTGACTGCTGCTTCTGCTGCAAGCTGTCATGTTTTGACTGCTGCTTCTTCTACTGGCTTTCATGTTTCTACTGCTGGTTGTCATATTTTGATTGCTGCTGCTTCTGCAAGCTGCCATGGTTTGACTGCTGCTGCCGCTGTTGCAGGCTGTTATGTCTTGACTGATGATGCTGGCTGTCATGTTTTGAATGCTGCTGTCAGGATTTGGCTGCTGCTGCTGCTGCTGCTTCTGCTGGCAGTCATTTTGGCTGCGGCTGGTTTTGCTGGCTATGTACGAAGTTTGGAATTGTCGATTGGTGGTTTTCCATAATTACCTTTCAACTTAACAATTTTTCTGCTGTAAACTGCATTTTTATTGATACCCACCATCCAAAAAATATAATAGCCTGATTAGATTCACAATTACTAAGTCACCAAATTCATGAATCAAATGCATTAGGCTATTTCGTCCTGCGTAAGGCGATAAACTACATCTGCGTTCTGCGTAAGACGGTAAACTACATCCGCGTCCCGGGTAAGACGATAAAATACATCCGCGCCTTGGGTAAGACGTTAAACTGCATCCGTCGTCCTGGGTAAGTTTTTTCTTTTTCTTTCAGATTTAGCGGACATTTGAGCGATATTATTTTTCAAACATAATTCCCATGACTTAAATAATATGATGCAATAAATAAATAAATAAATTTTCACCAATAACACTGATTTATTTACTGCTGACTTTGATCCGTCTTTAATGAAACACCCTTATATATAATCCGTCTTAAATAAACACCCTTTATTATACGGCAGAGGTAATATTAAAATTTGTTCTTATATAATGGTTAGGAAGCTGGTCATATAGATCAGTATGATTAAGTAGGGAGTCTAATCTTCATTGGGTGTTTCCTTTTTGTGGCCTTGTGCCGTACTTAAATATTTGTGTTGTTATTTGCGTCTTTGACCCAATGCTGTAGGCAACAGATAACACCTTTCATGATATTGTATGAATGGGGAAATTATCTCCCAGTATTTATCTGACGAATATTGGCCTATAATATATAGATGCCTTGAATCCATGTATATATCGTTTTTTTTATTGTGCGTATTGTCACCACAAATGTATACACACGTTTCCGGAGTCTGTTTTAAATTTTAATGTACGTCAGCGATTCGGTAGCGAATTATACATCGAAAATAATTCCTATATATCTGTATCTCATTCATTTAAACCATTATTTAACTCCTCTCTTTAAAGTTTCTCACTGTTAAATTTTAATCCCCACCTTCACCTTTAGGCCTTCCTCTCCTTCTATTACACCTCTCTCTAGAGCTTTCATACCTTTCCCTCTCATACTTGTTTCTCACTCCCAGACATACACTCTCACTAAAATTTTGTTTTTATACCAGGAGTTATATTTTCCAATTTCTTTTTGAATTTGTAGGTCTGATGAATTGGATTGTGATTACGATTCCAATGTAATAAATTATAACCATGGAATATTAGTGTTTGACCTTTTTTTTATTTTATATATATATATATATATATATATGTGTGTGTGTGTGTGTGTGTGTGTGTGCGCGCGCGCGTGTGTGTAGATCTTCCAAATTTCCAATTTTTATTTACCTTTGACCATTTTGCTTTAAGATAACTCAGATTTAAAAAAATGACAATTATCAGATTTGAAATGTACCAATATAAAGTTGTTGATAAGACAAAGAAAGATTCCGTAAATTTTCAAAATAATCTAAAGAAAAATAGGCAAATATAGCAAGTATTATGCAAAAGAAGTAATATTAAAATTTGTTCCAGTGTAATGGCGAGGAAGCTTGCCATATAGATCCTTATGATTGAGTAAGGAGTCTAATCTTCATTTGGGTTCACCATATTTGTGGCCTTGTACTGTACTTAATAATTGAATTGTTGATATGAAGAAAAATATATTCTCTTTTCAATATTTTAAAAAATCAACAAGAAGGAATATTTGAAATGTGATAAGGGATATTTCATTGAGATTTTCAAAAGTTTTCTGGCTTGGTTGTTTTGCAAACTGAAGCAGCTTTGAAAGTTCATAGAAAAAGCAAAAGAGATTTTTTTTCATAAATTGAACATAGTATTAAGGGACTGAAAGCTGATATTCAAAACAACAAAAAAGACTCTTAAATTGTGTTGTATCATCTTTATAGCAGTGGATATGAAACAATGTCAACACAAATCCAAAAAAGACTTTAAGCTATTGACTTATGGTTGATCACTTGAGATTGATAAGCAATCCAATGAGCATTTTAAAGCTAATATTAAAATAAAAAACACAGAGTTTTGGACTTTGATGTAATGCTTAATTTCTGTATAGCTGTGGATTCTGAATTACTTCATAAGAAAGGAAAAAAGTAGGGTTGAAGCCATTGAGATATGGTTCCTTCCCAAATTCTGAAAATAACACAGACAGGACATTTTTAGAAGGATAGGAACTACAAAGCAGTTACTACTGACAATAAAAATGAAATCACGGACATTCTGGGGATACAAAATGAGGAAAGGAGGCTTGGATAATTTAACACCCACAGGGGATATAAAAGGCAAGAGAAGCCGAGAAAAACTGAGCAACCTACTTGACAATTTTGCACAAAGAAAAAGGTAGGTCATGTCGGAAGAAATATTGCTGAGAGTAAGAAAAGACAGGAAGCTGTTATAAAAACTCTGATTACCTGTGTCCTGAAAGGAAATGCCATTATTATATATATATATATATATATATATATATATATATATATATATACATATATATATATATATATATATATATATATATATATATATATATATATATATATATATATATCAAATAGTAAGGTAGGTTAATTCCAATGTTCAAATATTTTTTTAAAAAAAGTGCTCAATATAGAGTAGAGCTTAATAATATTTAATAACTAAAACAGGTTGAAGCGGTTTGTAACGGTTTTTTGTTATAATTTTTAACAAATATTATATATATATATATATATATATATATATAAGTGTACTATATTTATGGGATAAAATGCTCAATATCAGAGATAGATTGTGTGTAAATATAAAAGTGAACATAGATAAATATAAAAGTGAACATGCTAGATGCAATCGCCAGGCCTGACGATTGCATCTAGCATGAAACAAACTATCGCCTCTAAGTGTTGACTTCTATGTTCACTTTTAGATATATATATATATATATATATATATATATATATATATATATATATATATGTGTGTGTGTGTGTGTGTGTGTGTGTGTGTGTGTGTGTGTGTGTGTGCTAGTGGCACAGATGCCTTTATTGTGTCATTTGTGTCACTACCACACAAGATAAAAGAATGTTTAAAATCGAGAATGTTTAACATCGAAAAACAATTCATTTTAATAATATGGCGAAATATTCACTCTTTGCCTGAAGAAAGACGCCAGACCCGAAACGCGTGTTGCAAAATTATGAAAAATAAAGCATAATATATATCTCTTTAAAAAAATCCACAGTACAATCAAAAGCCTTTGTGGTATCTCTCTCCTTGTTAATATATATATATATATATATATATATATATATAGTTTATTCAAATTTAGGTAATCTGTATGGGTAGACCTGAGGAGGATGATATCCAGAGAGCTCAATGTAAGATTCAGAGCATATATGTTTGAATAAAAGACAGACCACGTTAAGATTCCATGTAATAAGCTATTTCACTATAACCCCTTTAACAGGGTTCTGGGTCATCAGACTTTACGCACACACATATGTATACACACACACACACATGCATACGCAATCTACAGACCTCTATCTACCCACATACGTTAGTTTGCACTTATATATATCTCTCTACCTACGTATTTGTCCCTATTCTCATGTCCATCTGTGCAACTACTTATGCCTGCGTTCGAAGACTATCTCAGTATTTAATTATATTATCTATGTCTTTACACATATAATATTATGCGTATGCATATATGGGTGTGGGTATGTATGTGTATACGTGTGGATGTGTAGATATATATATGTGCGTACGAGTATATATGGGTATGCAGATGTCCTTGTGTGTGGATATATATGTATATGTAAGTATAAGTATACATGGAGACAAGTATGGAGACATGTGGATGTGCGTTCTCTCTGCAGGGGTATATGTGTAAAGATGGAAATATACATATATCGTTTCGTGGGAATGTTGGTGTAGGTGTATATAGGAACTCATAGACAAATAAGACGATATAGATATCTGGTTACAAATAGGGGGTTGAGACATATGTAGATAAGAAAATATAAAAGAAGGGTCTAAAAACAACCACGAGTTTACTTAATGAACAAAAATCAAAAACAATCACAGGTTCACTTAATGAACAAAAATCAAACGAATAAATGTCAACCTAACAAGCTATAAGCTTTATTGGATTACTCTTTCAATGTTCTGCCTATAGATCTTTCCAATCGACTGCTTCATAGGAAATACCCGAAACTCCACCGAATTTCAAATTAATTTCTTCGTAGATTGTTTTTAAAATTTAGATACTTATCAAACCTTAACCTCCCAAATATGCACGTTAAAGTAACGCGAACTGACAGCGTCTAGGAATTTGAATGAAACCTGTCGGATAATTTATTGGGGCTGTTATAACGCGCCTTCCTCAATGTAGCCTTTATCGCCAACCCCTTAACCACCTTTATCTAGAGACGAGACGCGTTAGATTAGAGCAAAATCCAGCCGACACACACTGGGGTTAAAATAGAAAACTAAAATGATACATATGACACACTCACATCCTCTCTCCCACCTCACTTCCTCACTTCGTTAACTTTGCGTATACTTGATGAGTTCCGTAAAAAAACCTGTGAATTTTCTTTTCATTCTTCATTTCATTCTTCATTTCAGCTTTTGGGAGTAAAGTCTGATGATCCAGAACTCTGTTAAAGGGGTTATAGTGAAATAGCTTATTACATGGAATCTTAACGTGGTCTGTCTTTTATTCAAACAAATATATATATATATATATATATATATATATATATATATATGTGTGTGTGCTAGTGAAAAATGAGAATGTTTACAAATCGAGAATGTTTAACAATGGAAAAACATAAGGAAAATTAATTCATTTTAATAATATGCCTGAGGAAGGTTATGAGTTGTGTTATAAAATTATGGAAAATAAAGCATAATACATATTTTAGAAGAAATCCATATTACAACTAAATTCTAAATTCTTTTTTAGCAAAATATATATATATATATATATATATATATATATATATATATACATATATGTTAAGGTAGGTTAATTCTAATGTCTGATTTTATATTTT